CATCCCAACAGCCCTAGGTCATGTGGCATTCATCTGGGAGTCTAGACAGTCAATACAAGTCATTCAAATCACATGGGGACATTTGAATAGGTCAAAAATGTCCTAAATTAACAAGGCTCATTGCATTCTCTATACTCTTTCACTTGATTCTAGCTCTCAAGCATAGGTCATATTTTGTTTGAGCTACCATAGTTCTCCTCCACCATTCTTTAGTTTGAATCCATCGTCAAAAGCCCGCCGATGATGAGATCTCCTGTGAACCAAAGCTGCATTCCGTCCAAGGCTTCGACCACTCGATCCAGTGTGTTTCAGACTATGGGTCCAACTAGGAAAATTTGTATGGATAGGCAACAAGCTTAGAGAATCCAAAAATTCTAAAATCCAATGGTTGGATTAGGTAAAAATATCAACCCTAGTTTAAAACACTTTAGAGTTTATTAGTTTTTTATTAAGTGTTTCGAAATCTATGGGTTAAATTTTGTTGGTTGAATTTGAAGAATTTTCTTCTTTTTTGTGGTCATTGTAAGGTTTTGGTCAATCTAGAATTGAATGTCATATTTTGAATCCTCATTTAGCTAATCCTCCTATCCCTTATAGTGTGGATGGGACATGAGTGGTTTCAGGTCAAAATTCTGGTGATAAATTAGAACTCATTCTTATAGGTGAGAATCTTATTGGTGTGGATAATAATGATCTTTGTATTACTTTGCCTTTGCTTGAATTGACTGCACCCATGGGGTTGGCGATTGGGAATTATTCGGTGGTCCCTGTTATTAGTGTTTTTGAATCTGAATATTTTGGAGCAATTATGTGTTTTGTTGATGTAGATGGTGGTTATAATGACTTCGTGAATTATCTTAGGGGTGAGATTGATGCTGAAATTCCTGTCGTTGTTGGTTATAGTTATAGTAATGAGTTGTTGAATATGGGATATAAGGAATTTTGTGATGTTAATATAGAGATGGTGAACATTATTTCTAGTGATTTGCATCCTTCTATGGCTTCTCTTATGACTCATGTTGATCTGGCTCTGTCGGCCTCTTTTGTGGGGTCTGATATTGTTGAGCATCTTGGTTATGTTTTGATTGCTTTACTTTTTTCTAATTTCTTGAATGCTCATTTGGGCGTTAGATTGGGAGAAACTATTGTGGAGCAAACTAACTAGCTCGAAGGCTCACCGTCTCCTCCTTACGAGGTTGGTGAAAAGGAAATGAATGAACAGGAAGACTTTTTTTATCTGAATGTGAGTCAATTTTTACGTGATGATTTCTATCATATTAATAAATTGAGAAAGTGAAAATCTAAAAAATAGTTTGTGTTTATGGGTTGTTTGGAGATTGCCTCCTCATAGATGTGGGGTGGTGGCTTTATGCTGCTAGTTTTTTGGTTGGTGGGGGTTAGCTTTTCCTTCTTATTTTGTCTCTTTTCTTTTATCTCTTACAGGTTTTTGTTGTGGTTGCAGTTTTTGGAGTTGGGACTACGACTTTAGATGTGTGGTTGGTGGCTGGTGATCTTGATGCTCTGTCCATCTTTGCTGAGGTGCTTGGAGTTGGTTTGTCATTTTGTCTCTTGTTCTTTCTTTTTTGGTTTTTCTATTGTAATAGATAGGATCTCATGCTCAATAGGTTTTATTTCAAATATTGTACTTTTAGGGAGCTTTTGATCCTTTAAGGACTTGTACCTCTTCTTTTTTATGGAACGCATAGGCCTCCTTTTGGGTTTTTACAAAAAAAAAAAGATTTTTTTTATTAAGTTCATTTCAAGCTTTAATATCTTTTCCCCATTGATTATGTTCATGTGTTCTACCTCTGCTTAAAATTTTATTGAAAGTGATTAGTTCGATCGAGAGAATGAAGTGATTTTTGCTTCTAGGGCGTCTTTTGTAGTCTATATTAAGTGCACGTTTTCTAGACCGTGGATCTCGCAATCAACGGCCTAGATCGTTCCATCCCGCAGTCTCTTAAAATTGAGGGGATCGTATCGTTGCGAAAATCTCCATCCAGCACAATCTCTACCATCCATCCTGAATCGCGCTCGATCGAACGACCCCCGCTCCATGCTGAAGTGGCTTAGTGAAATCGTGATCGCAGTTTCGATGATCCACAATGATTGCCGATAGCCCAACCATTTCTAATCAATCAATACTCTGTCGGCCAATGATTAGGCACAATTTTGATCTGCAATTCAAAGTGAGCCACGAAGCCCCTGCTGCCTCCAATTTGATTTAATTCTTTTTTAAAATTAATTAAGTGTTTTAATTGTAATTTTCTTCAAAAAATAAAAAAAAAATTCAATTTTAATCCAAAAATTAAGTGTAATACATCAAAATGATCAGTTTTTAAGCTCTTTTATTTAAAATTTAAATTAATTTAAAATATTTTAAATTATTTCAAATAATAAATAAGTTTTAAGTTTATGTATATAAGTTTTAAATTTTGTTTAGTGTTTATGTGTATAAGTTAAATCTATATGGGTTTGTATGTATTTCATTTATTGTAGGAGGTAGAGGTAGACCTAAGAAGACTTGGTTAGAAAATATTAGAAATGTCCTTTTTTATTAGTTTTAAATCATAATTTGACTCTTAACAAGGAACAATGAAGAAAAAGGATTCATCTAACTGATCTCATATAGTAGGATAAAGGCTTGTGTTGTTGTTGATGTTGTTGTAGGAAGATTATATATGAATTTTTAAGAGTCAAGCTTCCACTGGTGAGGGATCCTCTTCGACATATTTTCCTTTGGAAATAATTCCAATAGAAATTTTTCACTGTAAATTATTTTCCTACGTGCATTTTACCATCTAAAATGTTTTCATTGGAAATTTGCCAAAAATTGCTATTTCTAATGAAAATTCTTAGATTTGTGACATAATATTCAACCAAAAATTGCTCATTTTCTTATAGTGAGTGTTGTTTTTACTAGTTAGATCTTTTTTAAAGATAAAGAGCCCTTATATTATATATTAGATACAAACAAATTAGTTTAATTATAATAATGAAACAAAATATATTACCCTTTATCCTATTTAATTTTTATCATGGTTTAAAGAATCTTAACAACATCTAATGCATATAACAAGAGCCCCCTTATTTATAGAAATGAGGGTGAGAAATCAACATTCATAAACTTACCTCTAATTTTAAACCTACCACTAGTATTTTTAGAAATTTCATCATAACCATACATATCATCTTTCCAAATAACAAAAGTAACCTTCATGAGCCATGGTATAAGAAAAGATCAAATATAACATCATGACACAATATCTTAACAACATCTAATGCATATAAGGCCATAATATAATATTATGACAAAAAAAACCAAAATATTAAGGTCTTAATTTATAGTACTTATATATGGTACATAAACACTAGACTTTATGATAAAGGTGATGATGATGCACTACATCACTCAAATATTGGGAGAGAAGAAATCAATGTAAATAATTTTCATGTCGTTGATTGCAAGCATTTCATACTTAAGAATTGGAAGAGTAGTTTGAGTTTAGTTGACACAAAATTTATTGAAGGAATGTTCCTATGTACATTATTCAAATCATATTAGCTTTTTCAGAGTGTTCAATTAGAGAATATTTATTATAGAAGATCTATTCATGTGGCATTTGATGAGCATACTCAAGGTTTGCTCCCCATAATTAGGATATAAATGATAAATAAATTAATAGGTAGGAGAACTTAAGCTTAAGTAAACCAGAAGGTACCAAGGGTGTTCCTCCTGCTCTAGAGCCAACCACCTAAGGAGTGGACATATACTTTTAAGCCATCCTAAGAGCTTTCTAAGAGTTGATTATAGGCAATCGAGCTTAAGGTGTAATAACTAAGAGTGTGCTTCAAAATTAAATCAATTGCTCAACATTCTTACCTCAAGCTAGTAGTATTGACAAAGCCTTATAATATAAATGTTGGTTGAATGTAATACATGAAGAGTTAAATCAATTTGTAAGTAATGAGATAAGCTTGTTAATACCAAGATTAGAGGTTCAACATCTAATTAATTAGAAGAAAATGGACATTCAATAACAAGGCATATGATTTATCTTCTTTGCCAATGCATATGTGACATATGGACTATAATTTATATTGTGTTATGATTTTTTTTTAATAAAACACACAGAGGGGCCTACGCGTTAATATATAAACAGTGTTACAAAGTCCTTAAAAGGGACCTTCAGCTCACTAATGTTCAATTGAGCTACAAAATAAATCAAAAGAAAACCTAAGAGTTGATGGTTCCTTATGCTAATCATTACAAAATTTCCTAGTAACATACTAGGGCTACAAGTAAACAGCAGCCAAAAAAGGAAGTACTAGAGTAAACCTTTCTACTCCCACTTCCTGCAAAAAAAAAGTTAGGCTTGCCCACCATAACAAGAGTTCCAATAGCCTGCAAAAAAGAGATAATAGAAAAAGCAAACCAAGAGCCAATAAATATGCATGGAAATAACCAAGATAATCCTGTAAAATAGAAATCTAAAAAACATAATGATGATATATATAAAATGAGTGAAAGAAACCTAACCAAGCTTGTATGGATAAGCCAACATTTGGCCACCAGAGAGCTCACATTAATCAAAATTAGTACACAACTGCTCCAAACAAGACCAATAAAGAATCAAATAATGTTGTTGGCCATACTTAGAAAAGAAGCAGGAGACCACATGAACCCCCAACTGAACAGAAGACAGGAATAACACCAAAGCCACAACAGAAAAAATCCAAACTAAGGAATAACTAGATAGACCAAAGAGGAC